AATGAATAGGGTCATAGCAAAGACTGAATACTTTCATAAAATTGCAAAAATTTCAAGCAGACCTTTTTTTATTTGTCACTTTGTGTGACTTAAAGTGAAAAAAAAAATATAGGCTTGAGTTTTAGCATCGCAGCCAAAGTAGAGATGTCAGGAATGACAGCTTATAGCTTGATTAACAGTGTGCCCCTATCTCCCAGTCATTGCCTCTATGTTACTATACCTTACCTGGTCTGTTCATTGGTGAATTCCAGCTCCCCTCTGGTCTCCTCGTAGTCCACTCCTGCCTTGGCGCTGCCATCTTCCGTGTGGTACGGCACAGCAACTGTGCCCCTGGACCCCGAGTTCCTCAACACAGTCACCGTCAGGATGCCTGTGCTCTCACTCACCCGCAGCACGTGCTGCTCAAAGGTGAAGATGCCAGCGTGATCGTCGTCCAAGATGGTGACCGTAGCAACCAGCGGCTCCACTAGTCTCCCTTTGGGTGGAGTCCCCGTCCCTTCATTTCCACCCTCCTCTAACCTCAGGTTCTGAAGGCGTACAAAGAAATGCTCATCCTCTTCAAAGATGTCATCATCCAGGATCCTCACCTGGAGAGAGCAAAGTATTTTAAAGTTACATTCCTTCCAGATGCACATGGTTGTTAACCATTTTATTGAACATTCACTACAATTAAATTCTCAGAATGACAGATTCTTTGATCCCACTGATGACAGACACCACAACTAATCTAGATTCCTGGTCACCTCTCCAGGACAATTTTTGTGTTTGACACTTGACCATGACGATAAAGGTTAAACACTGACACTAACATTAGCTTTTTTTCCTTTCTTACCTTGATTTCTTTGTGGGTCTCCCCTGGTTTGAACACCAGGGTTCCCTCAGTAAATTCATAATCTGCTCCAGCATTGGCAGAACCATTTTCTGTACAGTAGTCCACATAGAATGTATTCTGACCAGTTCCCCCATCGAGGATCACCCCCAGGGTCAGAAAGCCACAGTTCTCCATGCACTGATACTG